AAGAGCAAAGATTTTACTCCTGAAGCAAAAACAGTTGTAGTCTTAAAAGTCTGTTTCGGACAATTTCGGTGCTATATGAAGCTAGTTGGTTTTCAAATGAAGTTTGTATTACATTCTGCTTTGTTTTTAAATTCTGTGTTGAAATCTTTCTACATGAATTATTGTACATATTGGCAACTATATTTTTCTGTAACTGTACTGACAACTCCTGCTTGGTCTTCCTTAAGTAATTTAGTAACTTGCCATCAATTCCACTAGTTTCAAGTTCCCTATTCTGTCATTGATACATTGGCAAAGAGAGCTCATTATTAATATAGGTTGATTATGGGTAGGGAGTGCCTGTGGAATGAGCCTTTGAAACCGGTAGTCAAATAAAACTTTGATATATTTATGACTTGTGTGTGATGTCACCATAACCATCTATCAGAACGGTTATAACACTGAAAGTTGTTTGTTTTCTTCCTGTTCTTGTTTTCTTCAAGTCTACCAGTGAATTATAAAGAGTAAGTCATTTTAAGTTGAGCCACTGCAAGAACAGTTCTAATAAGTAAATTAGATAACAATTTGTATTATATCTAAATAGCTTCTCATTTATGATTGTTATACCTCTGAAAATCAAATATTTTCTTTTCCTCAGGCACAAAGGGAAAGGTCAGGCAGAGGGATTTTAAATATCTTGCCAATGGTGATAGTCTAAATTCTAATGGTTAGGAAGCTGTTTTTCATTTCTGTTGAGCATTGTTCCTGCAAACATGTATATAAAGACCTAATTTACACCTTATAAATTAGTAAAAGTATGGATGCTATACCTTTTGAGTATATTAAATCAAACACCTGCTTTTTTTTTTTTCTCTCTCTATTTAGGATGAAATTGATGCAGCAGTGAGGATGCTACTGTCATTAAAACTGTCATATAAAACAGCAACAGGGCAGGATTATCAGGCAGGCTTGCCTCCGAGAGATCTTGCATCAATAAACAATGGTACTAAAGAAGAGGATGAGGACCTGGTGGACCCCTGGACTGTGCAGACCTCAAATGCCAAGGGCGTGGATTATGACAAACTCATAGGTATAACTTCTTTCTTCACTGCTACTAGTGAATTTCTGTAAAGTGATTCTGATGATGACAAAAACAGCAAAAGATCATAAATTCAAAACCATGATCATGGAATAGACATAGACAAGTTTTAATTTATGTCTAATCTTAGCATTCACTTGTCTAAAGAGTTTGCTGTAGGAGTTGAAAATGTCTTAGGAAAGGCTTTCCTATGGAAGACTTAAGTAGATTGTGAAGATCTTTCAGGCTTAAAAGTTTCACTCACAATTCATTTTTAGCATAAGGATTGTTATTAGAAGTTATGTTAATGAAGAAACTATTAATGAATAACTGCATTTTTGGTGACTATGATACAGAAAAGTAATAGTAGGAAGCCTGGCTGTAACCATTATTCCACATATGACTTGACCTTCACATTAGGTAGGGCAGAGTCAACCCAAAAGTAATGTAAAAATCTAAGTGCTGTGACTACATCATAAGATACTATCAAGCAACTAAGTGCAGTGTGGGATTGAAAAGATGCAGCTTGCACAGAAAATAATCATCTAATAGAAAAAAAAATAGATTGGGATGTTACAAAACTTTCAAAATTTGCAATCTTAAGAAACAGAGGTTTTGTTAATTTTCTTATTGGGTTTATAGCTATTTTCACAGGTTGTTTGGATCTATATTGCAGAAATAGGTAACAAAACTCGTCATTAATTCATGCTATTTTTGTTCTTTTTAAGACAATTAACAACCTCCAAAGCATGAGTGTGCTTCAATGAAAATTCTTTAATAGTATTAAATTGCTGGTGTCTTCTTAGTAGCTTGGTTCTAATGATAGACCATATAACCTTATGTAGCTGCAACCTTATGTTTGCATTTGGGAGCTGAATTTCTAGTTGTCAACACTTTTTTTTTTTTTTTTGAGTTTTGAGTGGATGTGACACTCATGTAAGATCCCATCAAATGACTGTGTTTATTGGTTTAGTCTGCAAAAGGCTATAGGAAAAAAAAAGTTGGAAAGGGAGAAGCATACTAAGAAACATGTACCACCAGAGGGGAGAGGGAAGAGAGAAATTGTCAGAATCAAAGATAGACAAGATTTCTTATTTTGTTCCTTGTGTAGGAGGCAGGAGGAAGGCTCAGGGTTTTCTTGAGGGGTTTTCTAATACTTGTAGAAGAGTGAGGAAAGTAAACTCCCTGGCACAATCTTGATGTCTTTTTGAGAATGACTAGTATGACTTTACTGTAAATAAGTAAAACCAGTGTTCTTTTTTCTGGTAGTAAGTGTTGTGTGTGTGTGTGTGTGTGTGTGTGTGTGTATGTGCACATATATTGCCTTTTGACCCGCCCTCCAATGGTGAATTAGCCTGAAGGGTTTTTCCACACTTACGCTGGTAGCTGAATTTGGTGGATGAGTCATTTAGCTTGTTCTAACCGATGCGTTGGAAATTTTTCAAAGAATGCGAGCTACTCCAGGAAGTGAAGCAGATAGTATTTGCTATTGTTATACTTCCTCCTTACTTGAAAAAAAGATAATAAAAATACATATTGTCCAAGAATTTGACATCTGACAGCTCTTACAGTAAAGGAAAAAAGCAACCCATGTATTTATTAGTACCAAAGAAAGGTGCCATTGTGTTTGTGTATATGCAGACTTGAAAGAATGAAGAAAAAAAAAAAAAAGGCATTTTAATTGAAAGGGGCATTTTCTCAAATTGTTGTCCTGGAAAAAATGAAAAAAAAAAAAAAGGCATTTTAATTGAAAGGGGCATTTTCTCAAATTGTTGTCCTGGCCGTGCACTTGCTTGCACACCAAAACAGCCTGCAAATTTTTTAGGAAGAAAGGTTAGGTCAGCAGAGTGCTAGAGATGAGCATCCCTAGAGAATGCAGGCTTTTTGTCTTGAGGATGAGTGAAGAAAAGATGAATAGGTGAAAAAGAGGAATGTTAGAGTGCTGATATTTATCAGTGAGCTGAATATTCAGGTGACACAGAATCACAGAATGGTTGAGGTTGGAAGGGACCCCTGGAGATCATCCAGCCCAACACTGGGGCAGAGTCATCTGGGGACCTTTTCCAGTTGGGTTTTGAATATCTCCAAGGATGGAGGCTTTACAACCATTCTGGGCAACCTGTGCCAGTATTCAACATCTGTCACAGTACAATAATTTTTTTCTTGTCACCTTCAACAACTTGTCCAGCTGGTCCTTCTCTGCAAAGCTTCTTTGCAGCCAGCTGTCCCTAGGAGTTATTCCTGCCCAGACCAGGACTTCTCATTTCCTTTGTTGAACTTTGAGATTCCTGTCTGCTTAGTTCTCTAACCACTTGGGATACCTTTGAATGGCAGTACAAACATCTGGTGTACCATCCACTGTTCCAGTCTCGTGTCATCTGCAAATTTGCTTAGGGTGCACTCTGGCTCGTTGACCAGGTCATTAATGAAGATATTAAATCGTATTTGCCCTAGTATCAACCTGCGAAGTACGTCGCTGATAACTGGCCTCCAGGTGGACTTTGTGCCGCTGATCGCAACGCTGTAATCCCAGCAATTCAGCAAGTTCTTAGTCCACTTCAGCACTCCAGCAGTCTGTCTGGGAGGATGTTACAGGAGGCAGTGTGAAAGCCTTACCAAAGCTGAGATACGCAGTATCCACTGCATCCTCTCGCACACTGAGCTAGTCACCTCATCGTGGTGCCTGTTAGGCTGGTGGGGAATGCTTTAGTCTTCCAAGCTACTCGCAGTCACTTTCTTGTCTTTAGTGTATTTGGGAACAGTTTATTTTCTCAGTTGCCTTCTCGGGGATCATGGTGAAGCAGACCTCCTTACCTCCCCAGATCTTCCTCCTTACCCTTCCAGCAGACTCAGAATGCCGTTGGTTTTCTTCCAATCCCCAGGAACCTCTCCAGGTCTCCATGACCTTTCAAAGATTATTAAGAGCGACTTGGTCAGTAAAGTTACTGTGTAACTAAAACTACCGGGTTTTAGTTTTCTTTGTTCAAATGTAACATGACAATGGTGGAAGAGGAAAAGTACACAGTAAATTTTTAGCAACGCAACCATCCCTTTGAAAACAGTGGAGCAGGCTGTTCAGCTTTCGGGACTTCTTATCATATCGTAAACTAAAGCTGTCTTTTTGGTGACAGAAAATTATAAAGATTATAAGAATTTTGGTGACAGAATCTGTCTTTTGGTGACAAAAGCTGTCTTTTGGTGACAGAAAATTATAAGAATTAAAAAGCTTATTAGGGAGAATGCGTATTTGTTAGCAGCTGTCTAGGAAGGTAGAGTCTCTCTGTATAGAGGTTCTGAAAAGTGCTGAACTCTCCCAGTTTATGATGTTTCAAGTAGAACAGATCCAATATCTATAGAAGGGAGTACCTGTTAAACCTATAAAAAGACTCGCACCATTAACTGTCTATATCATCACTTGAACTGCATTTGTAACCGTTAGAATTCATATTAACATACTGGAAATATGTGTAGTACAACTCAGCTGTATTGCACACTTTCATAAACCAGCATTTCATAAACCATCATCAAACACTTTCATCTTCTTTTGAACTCTGTTAATATTCATCCAGATTAGAATTTTATTTTGCCATTTTCTAATGCCTTTTATTTGATAGGAAGAAATTAATGTGGTAATTGAGGTCTGCTCAGGAGAAGCAAATATACCTCTTCAAAACATACGGGTTAAATTGGTGTTTCCTGAAGCATTTTTCTTTTAGTGGCATTTTCTCTAATCGGTGGATGGCTTCAGTGCTTGCTTTGTGTGATTCCTTGCTTGGTTGACCTAGAGTGAATGAACAATTGCAAACAAGAATTTGTGCCTGTTGAATAATGGTGAGTGATGGATAGTTCTATTTTCACCTCTCATTTAGTAATGAATTTGTGTATAGTCAGGTAACTTGAATTTAGTACAAAGTCTTATGGTAATGGAAGGGCATAAGCAGTAATTCTAGAAAAAATGAAATGAGAGTGATTTGGTTGCAGCTGCATTTCAATTTTACTTTATTATTATTATTATTGTAGTTCGGTTTGGCAGCAGTAAAATTGACACGGACCTGATCAATCGAATAGAGAGAGCTACTGGGCAAAAACCCCACCGCTTTCTACGCAGAGGAATCTTTTTTTCTCATAGGTGAGGGTGTGTGTTTGTTTGTTTGTTTTAAACTTAAAGATCAGATTAGATGGTGTTTTTGTGAGTACTATAAGGAAAAAAAGCTTCTTTTTTAGTACACATTAGTTTCTGGTATGACCTCATTAATTACAAAAAGAAAAAAATGTGTAGGGAATTTTTCCTTTGTACAAGTTCCAGTGTTTTAGCAGCCAGGTAGTGGAACTGGCCTAACGGAAAATGAAAACCCCAGTGTCCACATGAAGTCACTGCTGAGTTCAGCCACGCATGGGACTGAGGCAGTACCTGTGTGGTGAACAAGGCTCAGGGGATAAGCCTGAGCCTTCCACTGTTCTGCACAGCCAACTTCTGGCATACGTGGACTTCTGGCCCTTCCAGAGGTTATTCCTAATAGGTTGTTTGGACATGGCACCCTTTCTGGGAAGGGAGAAACTTTAGTGTGGGGATATAAGCTAAATCACACGTCTTCACTTTGGGAAAAGGAAAGGATGCCCAGACCCATTTTGATGGACTTTATGTCCAATGAAGTGATTTGAAGTAATTTTAGAAGTGTGGTGGGGTTTTTTTGTTGTTTTTTGAGAGGCCAGGGGGGAAGGGGTGGTTTGGTTTTGGTTTGGTTTCTCTGTTTTCATATGGTCTCTGGACCTGGGTATGTTTGCTGTATACTGTTGATAAATACATTTGGTGTTACAGAGACTCAGAATTTGAATAGAAGCTTTTTTGCTATAGTTATTTATTCTTAAGTTTTGTAAGAAATGCTTCATATTTTCTGTTTTTTTCCTTTAGAGATATGGACCAAGTCCTTCATGCCTATGAAAATAAGAAGTCCTTTTACCTTTATACTGGCAGAGGCCCATCCTCACAGGCAATGCATGTTGGTCATCTTATCCCATTTATATTCACAAAGTAAGTTATTTCAACCATTCATATTAATCAAAAATATTTTTCTAATAAAATACGGAATAATGTTTGTAGAACTTCTAAAATGGTACGTTGTAACGGATTCCAATTATTTCAGTTCACATAGGCACAAGTAAGTGTATACGGTACAAAGATAAGAAAAGCAGACATTTTTGTTTAAATGTATGAAAATATTTTATCTGCATGACCTTATGGCTTCATTTTAACTTATTCTGAGATAAAATCTTCCTGCCTTTATTAGGTGGCTACAAGAAGTATTTGATGTTCCCTTAGTCGTACAGTTAACTGACGATGAGAAATACCTTTGGAAGGACCTGACAACTGAGAAGGCATATGAATATGCTATAGAGAATGTAAAAGACATTATTGCATGTGGCTTTGATGTCAATAAAACCTTTATCTTTTCTGATTTAGACTACTTGGGGTAAGTATAAGATTGCTTTAGAGCAGTGTAATTTTTCACTCGAGCTTTGACAGCAGTGTAGATAAATATATTTGGATTTCAAAGCTTCAAGGCAAGGTGCATAATATTTAATAACAGATTTTTTTTTGCTATCTATATGTTTTAGATATATTCTCCTTACATTTTTCTGTATAATATATGAACAAGAAATTATGTGTGTGATGCCTAAGCTTACATTAAAAACATGTATATAAAAATCCTAAACCACCAAGAAACCTCCATTTTGTTTTAAGATGGTATTGCAGCCTTTGAGATGTGTTTACACTTTGTCTGAGTTATATTACTTTTCTTAAAGAAGTTTTTTCAGCAGCTTGTTTTGGTCAGTTAGCTTAATGCAACAGTACAGGTTATTATTTGAACTTTCAGCAAAGTTTAAACAAGATTTTGAAAAAGAAACTGCTATTGAGAAGACAGTTCTAGAAACAAGGTTCTGCTTTTGACTCCTCTTTATTTTTCCACTTCTCTTGCAGGACAAGTACAGGATTCTACAAAAACATCGTCAAAGTTCAGAAACATGTTACATTTAACCAAGTGAAAGGAATCTTTGGCTTTACAGACAGTGATTGCATTGGTAAGAAATAATACAGATTTCTGGAAGTGATGCCTGTTCTCACTTTCTGTAGAACTATTTAAATAACTATGTAAACAGACTATCTGTTTATATAACATACATAACATATTATATTCTGTTCATATAACAAAGAGAAAAAACAAGATACATATTTCTAGCTAATTCTAATTCCTCACTATTGAAAACATTTTGGAGTGAAAATGAGAATTGCTTTCTGGCCTTAGTAACAGTGAAGTACAAAGCACAAAAGTGCCCAGGATATAGAATTATTTTTTTCTTTTTTTTTCTTTTGTATATATTACTACAATACTCAGCAATGCTTCCCGGAAATTTCCATTATAAAATAATATAGAAGCTTTTCTCCAGAAAATAAATGTATTAATATACACACAGAAAACAAAAGTTAAGAGGTGCTCAAACGCCCAATTATCCTTTTGTTTTCTGCGTGTATATTAAGAGGTGCTCAAACGCCCAATTATCAAGGTGCTGGGTAACTATCTTTCATTTACGTCACTGTAACTGCACATTACTATCGCTTTGGCCACAGAAAGATTCTGTGTCAAAGATGTCATTAAAACATTGGAATTCCTGAGTAGGAGCATCATTCTCTGCTCAGTAAGCAGCCCAGCAGCAGCTTTTCAGCCTCCCCTGTTGCCAAGGAACTGATTCCTACCAGCGTCATGCCTTGCCAGTGTGCTATAAAATATTAGTGTTGTGGTGATGGCTTCTTTCCATGCTTAGAAAAAAATCTACTATTAGCATTCAGTTCTGAGACAGTTTTGATCGTGGAATCAGGTTGGTCACTCTACAATTAAGTATTATATTAAAAAGATCATTAGGCACATCTGAGATGCTTTCTCATGTAAATAGCACACATATAGTAATGGGTCTAAGACTGTAGAACAGAAGTTGCCCAAAAGGTAGCTTTGTAATCATTCTCTCACAAAGGAGAATGAGCAATTCAATAGACTGATGATATAGTTAAGGATATTTCTGAGAATGGTAGCTACTTGGAGAGAGGAAAGGTGAGGCAGATATGTTTGCATGTGCTAATAAACCTTTTCTTGACCTTCTGTTTTCACAGCTTGTCTTCTTTCATCTGTTCTATGTTAGTTGAAGGTGTGTTGAGATCATAGAAAGTGAAGATTAAAACTTTTCCTCAAATGAGAGAACATTGCATGATAAAGACAGGAGTTGGTCTCCAGCTGAGCATCTGAATGATTCACTTAATGTGCTATGTATTTCAAAAGGCTTCTCTTCTATCACTGCATATTTTGACTTTTTCTAAGCATTTTCAAATGTGTTATTTTCTAGGAAAGATCAGCTTCCCTGCTATTCAAGCTGCTCCATCATTCAGTTCATCATTTCCACAGATCTTCAATGGCAAGGAGAATATTCAGTGTCTTATTCCATGTGCTATTGACCAGGTTAAAAATAGCATTTACTTAATTTGATTTTTTTTCATGTATTTGCTTTTTTTTTGTAATGTATCCTTCAAAGTTCATGGTGCAATATCAAAACATCTATAAAAGTTCCTCTGAATACCTTTCTTGAGAAGAGGCTAGAGAGATAAAAGGGTGTTGTGCTGTGTCCTGACAAAGACGATGGCTTTCATAACCTCACAATCGTGGATTCATATATTACTCATTCTTGTCAGTCTTGGAATGGTCTTGATCTCAGCCTGCTTCACAATGCACTGGCATCTATGAGAGCAAACACTGTGAAATCTTCAATTATGCAAAAGCTGACTGACGTGAGGCTAAGAAGAAACTTCTGGCCATTTCTCTGGTAACTAGGACAAGAAGTAATGAGCTTAACTTGCAATGCAAGAGGCTCACATTGCACTTTAGGGAAAAGCTTTTATCTCTAGAAATAACAAAACACTGGAGTAGTCTTCTGAAAACCTGCAGAAATCAGTGATTCAGATCAAAGAAAAAAGAGAATAGACCAACATCCACTACAAATAAGGGGCAGTATCATTGCAATAGAGAAGTATTGGTTCTAGGGTTCAACTTTTGCACTGTCTCTGAATCTTTAACAGTTTTGCAGGGACAGTCACCCTAACATGGTGTAATTATATTCATCAGCCATTGCTTTACATGGTAAAGCTCTTGCCGTTGGTCTAAGTCAAGTCAGCAGCACAACCCTGCCAGCTTGATCACTGACTTAGTTTGGGTTCTGTGATCACTGTGGGAGGAACCTTGCATCTTGCTCTGCATCCATGGCCGGGCTGTTAAGGATAGTTTTCACAGCTATTTGAATGTGTCTGTTAATTTAAGGAATGGGAGTATATAGTGGAAATACAGAAATAAAAAGATATTAGGGTTTTCTGTTTTGTTTGTTTGTTTGTTTCTCAAGGCGGACTACCTGCCTGAAGGGATTAGAAGTAGGCTATGGAATGCTTTTCTTTTGTTGATCCCACCTGTAAAGGCATGAGCTAATGTCTAAAAGTCAGCATTAAGCACCTTTTAAAACACATTTTTCAGTTTTATTTTGTACTTTCATTAATGATTGTTCTAGGATCCTTATTTTAGAATGACTCGAGATGTAGCACCTAGAATTGGACTTCCTAAACCAGCTTTAATGCACTCAGTCTTCTTCCCGGCCTTGCAAGGAGCACAGACAAAAATGAGTGCTAGTGATCCAAACTCTTCCATCTTCCTCACTGATTCTCCCAAACAGATCAAGACCAAGGTAAGAACATGTGCAACTTGAGAGCACAAAACTTTATAATGAAGAGTTGTTCTTCATGATTACAGTGGCATCCCTTTAACGTTTTGTTTGAACATATTGTCATGCTTTTTCCCTGTTGATTTCATCGCAAAGCATCTTTAGGGATTAACAAAGTTAAATAAATGTAGCTAGACATATCAAGAGTAATCTTATCATCCTGCCAGCTATACTAGCAATTCAAATATTAGCTAGCAAAACTCCCATTTGTGTATCTGTTATGTGCAGAGTAGCAGTGTATTAATAAGACCCATGGATGTTCTTGCTCTAAAAATAAATACTGTGTTGCCATCATTTTGAGATTTGATGGTTCATAAGAATCAAATAAGCAGCTCTCAACTGCTTCTCTATACTGGGAGCATCAAGTGTTGCACATTGCAACAATTGCCAAATACTCCCTGCTGCTTGGGGATCTGCTGGGATCTTGCATGGTGGACATGTACTCACTCAGTCTGAATTGTACTATCCTTGAGTGAGTTGGAAGAATAATAAGAGAGAAAGATCTAGCCAGTTGAAATATAAAAACTATCCAAAGGAAATCCTGAACACAATATTGAGTATGGGAGGACAAACTGAAACTTATTTCAGCTTTGGAAGCGCATCACAAGATGTAGCTATGAAAATATTACTTGATGGAAGACTAGGTGTTGTTGTGGCCAGGAAAACAAAAATTAAAGAAGGAGTGGTGACTTCTGGTCATAGCTAAAGGTTAAAATCCGAGTGCCACTTTTGTATAAGAGGAACTATTAATTTACAGCCTTTTTCAGATCACTAATACATTGAAAATTAATGAAGTTCAAAACTTACAGGTCATAGAAAATAAAAAAGAAAGTCAATATTGGAAAAGACTGAGAAACATCTGGGAAATTATTTAAAGGAAATTTATTATTGTAAACTCTTCTTATTCCACATATCACTAAATTACAGTTCATTTATTTGCATGTTGTCTTAGAATCTGTAATTTAGGTTCTAAGTTACCTATATCAATTCAAAAAAGAGATCAGGGCATCACTGATCATTGATTAAATCATTGAAACAATCAATGATTAGGGGCCAGTGTATCTAAGAAATGAATGCAAGAATAATACAGAACTCTTTGGGGTTTGGGGGTTTTTGTTTGTTTGTTTGTTTGTTTTTAAGAAACAGTAGAATGCCTCCATCAAACCATCAGTTCTTCTGACCTAAATAGAATATATGGAATATTGAATATAGAGCAAACTATAGAGATTAGGAGCATGTGAAAAAATGGGAATCTAGTATGGAGACATATGAAGTGCAAAAGTAATATATAAGAAAATTGATTTCACAGATTCTGAAGTAGCTATTTAGGCTGCCCTGCATTATAAGAATAGATGTAATGTGGCAGATGGCAGTTTATTTTCTTAAGATACTCATCACTGCATAATTATGGTATGCAATACACTGCCACAAGACATCTGTAACATGGCGGTTAGAAAGATTCCAAAAAAAGCAACATTGATACAGATTATAAGAATATTCAGGAATGGTAAATATGAAATAAAAAAATCCTAAGTACCAAAGCCAATAAAATCTTACTGCATATGCATGTGTTTTTATTGGCTGTTGATATCTGAGATCCAAATGAAAACTATGCTTGTCATTGGGGAAGGCTCTTCTTCCCCTTCCTGGCTATTTTCTTTAAACTTTCAGGAAGATTAGCATCTCTTGAAAACTAACCCTGTCTTTTAAATAGGCCAGTGGCTTCTAAAATACTATGAATAGGATAAGTAGATAAGCTATATTTACCAGAGTAATTCATCTGCTCAAAGGAAGCTTAAAAAAAAAAGAGTCTGTAGTCTGCTCCGTTTTAGACTGAGCAACTGGGCATTTGTCTAAGGATAGCCATCATAACCAGGGTTTTATAATCTTTAAACTTGTTTTATTGTGTTGTTTCTGTCACAGGAGGAGAAAAAAGAGAGGAAAAAAAAAGGGGGAGAGAGAAAATGAATTTATTTAGAATGTTTGTTAAAATTCTCCATTTCTCCTTCTCCTCCATCTCTTTCAAAACAGATTTCTTGCTGAGATGTGTATCTTTGTTTTTTCATACGGAGGGTACATTTCTTGCAAGCACAGTCTCCCAGCAAGCAAACTTCCTTGACAAATCTTGTTTGGATTCTCTTTGCGTGACGCTTGCTGGCGGTCTGTTCGGCAGTCTGTGGAACGTGTGTGCGCAGTCATTTTGCTGGACCAGCTTCCAGTGACCTTCCCGCTTCAGGCCTGAGGCTCTGTGCTACCTTCTCCCATTCATCTTTAAGATAGGCCTTAATAGAGCCCTCAGAGGGCTGTGATCCACCTCTTCTTTCAGTGCAGTCATCTGCACTTTTGTAGAAATGCTACCATCAAATCTTCACGTTGTTTCAGATTAACAAGCACGCGTTCTCAGGAGGTAGAGATACCATTGAAGAGCACAGGAAGTACGGGGGGAACTGTGATGTTGACGTGTCTTTCATGTACTTGACCTTCTTCCTAGAAGATGACGACAAGCTTGAACAACTGAAGCAGGTAGGTACCCAAGTTAAAGATAATACAGTTTCTTTCATACCGGGAGGACAAAGCTATAAGGAAGTCCTTCCAGAATCTTCTCCAAGTCCAGCAACAGTTGCAGCTTGAATTAGTATCACAAATGGCTTTGGGATAAGAGAAAGTAAGGTTGTCGTGTTCAGTCACTTCAAACAGTAGTTGCGCTGCCCCAGCCAGGGCTGAACAGCCTGCTGTTTAGCCTGAATTTGCTGCTAAAAGTGAGATATTGAAGGGATTGCCAAGAGCGAACATGACTGCTAGTGTCAACGGAGATTCTCAGTGTCTTTGCTATAAAAAGGTTACTTTAATCACACCTAACCTCTCACCAAACTCTGTGAGAGGAAAACATGAGAACTTCTGCCTCCTGCTGCACAGAGGGGAGGAAAAAAAATGGTGGGGGTGGGAGGGGAAACTGTTAGATAATTGGTAATTTAAATTGGGATTCTGGGGAGGAAAACATGCAGATTCCTGCAAGTAGTTACAGGGTTTCCAAGTTCAACTCTTGTGAATGTAGCTTATTCAGCGCATACAGCTTGTTATATATGAAATTGGCCAACTGTCTTAATCTTTTAAAAGGCAGAAAGTAATTTTTCAAGTAACATTTTTAAAATGATCTTTTAAAGCATATGCTTATATATGTAGACATCCAAATATTTATTTGCCAAGGCCAGACTTTTAAAGAAATTCCTGTCACCAGGCCTATCTTCATATAGCACCATATTTAGCAATGAACACTTTCCTTGACAGGCCTACACAAGTGGGGAACTGCTCACGGGGGAGCTGAAGAAGGTGCTTATTGAAACATTACAGCCCTTGGTAGCAGCCCATCAAGAGAGACGCAAACAGGTCACAGATGAAGTGGTGAAGCAATTCATGACTCCACGGAAGCTGGCTTTTGAATTTTGAAGAAATGCCTATGTAACTTCTCACTTGATAAACCAAAATCAAATACTTGTCATCTTCTGTTGTGTGTCATCACTCCCTAGTTATGCACAGGCTGCTATCAGTGCTTTATAAATATTGCTTTTAATGAGTACGTACAATAAACATCAGAGTACAGAAAAAGTTTTAAAATATGACTCATAACTATTTAAAAATAAAATATATAAATTGAGGAGCTGATTCTATACAAGACAGAATTGTCTGATCTTGCAGAAGCATGTCTGTCAGTACAGGACCCTATTTTTTTGTATTTCATGTTGAAAATATAAATAAAATTTCCATTTTGATGCTGAAGTCTAACTTGTAAATTGTTTTAGATATGTTGATAAGAGAGGTATCTCAAACTAATAACCAACAGCGCCACTTTCTTTTGTCCTGTGTAGCTTGGTTTACTAGAGTTCATGTCCTGTTGGGCGACCAGGGAACACGCTGCACGCATGAAAATGCTGAATGCTCTGCAGTAGATTCCAGAGTGACTTAGCCTGAGGTCAGTGGAGGCAAGTTGGAGGCCTGTGAGTTCAACGCAGGAGATAGTAAAAATCTGTTGTCCTCTTCCCCTTTGACCTGGGGCAAGTCACACAAAATTGTCTTTGCTTTCATTTCTGCAACTATAAAACTGCTCTGAATGCCTCTGAAGGGAGGAGGTACAACAGGGTTGTAAAGTCCTTTGATGTTCTCAGGTGGAAGATATTATAAAAATGCAAATTTTAGTTTCTACTAAGTGTTGAGTCCCATGCCATGGAAATGAGGTCACTGCTGGACACAGTGATATTTCTAGGGCTATTTGTCCTGTTTTATTGCACCAGGGTACTTAAAGTAGTGGTGCTTGTTTTAAGATCTGCCCCAATGAGGAAATCTATTTTGTTGAAATACCTCGTGTAATACCTCATTTTTTCCCTTTTTCAAAAGAACTTCAGTGTCTCTGCTATAATTTATGGAAGAGAGAATCAAACAATTAGCTAGTTTGTTTTAATATTTACAGTGCTGACTACATACTGTTAGATCTATCTGGTATTTATATAGAATGGACAGTGGCTAGCCCAGATCCATCTTACCTAAGTCAAAAACACCTCTGATAACACAGGTGGACATTGATTTGTGGTATTTGAAAGTCATTTAAAATGTGAAGCAGGCAGTAGAATGAGCGTGAAAGATTTAAGCTTTAACAAACTGTGCTGTGGAACCTAATAGATGTATGTAGTCTTTTTTTTTTTTTTTTTTTTTTTTTCTTAAGAAAAGTATTTTTAATTTGTTGTTAAGCCTTTGAAGGCAGCTAATTTTTACACTTGAACTGAGGGAGAATTTTCAAGGCTGGGGTTTCTGAATGACTTAAGTAGACCTTGGCTCAGGCTGTTAAGCACATTAGAGTTTGTTGCACTCTCTGTTCTGCCTGGAGCTGGGAGCCACTGCGAAATTCCTCCTTTCCCGCCTGCACTGGCTCGGTAGGAGCGCAGACGTGTCCTGTCCAGCAGCGACCTTGTCTCTCTGAGAAGCAAACATTTGGCTGCCAGGCTGTAAGTGGCTTGTGTTAGTGTTAGAGTTATGTTTGTGCAAGGGACCAAGGAAAGACTGAAGTGTGCAACAAATTTAGTCTTATTACGTGTTTCAAACTTCGGTTATAACTAGGAATGCTTTCCTTTCTTCTTTTATCCTCTCAGTTTACATGACCTGCCATCGTTAATCTAACACCACTGACTGATGCATTAAAGTACATGTTTACCAATAGCCTACCTCTCTGTCACCCACGGTCGTAGTATCATAGTGCTAGCAAGGGCTTAACAATCAGTAAATACCTTTATTTCTTTTTAAAATCATAGAGCACTTCATAGGAAAGCAATACAGCAGTAAATAAACTAATTGTTGCTCTGGAGTTTTCCCCGGTAACCTTTCTGTTCTCACAATCCAGTGTTTGCCATCTTTGAGCTATACATAGTACATAGCTCTTACACTGATCCTAAAGGGCTTTTACAAACCCATAGTACAAATTTCTTCATGAAAATTTTCCATCAGTCTTGTAAGATTTGTTTCCTTAGCTAAGAGTTATTTCACTTATTCAGGGGAAGAGATGGGTATGGGACAAACTCATAACATATTCTAATCTAAACTAAATTTACAGATTAATTTTATAACACAGCAATTAAAATCTGAGTGGAAAGTTCTAGGAGGGCACGTGGCAACAAAATAAGTTATCATTTGTTTATTAAGAGAGCACTTTACTCCAAGACTCAAATAAATGCTTACCAAGTGTTGTGCTTCTCAGTCCTATAGGAATGATACAGTTTCTTAAAGGAAGCTTGGAAAATTCCTAAATCTTTTGTAATTATTATTCATGTTCCAGAGGTAATTAAAGATCATGACAGAGCAGTCTTGAAAAGCATGGGTGAAATGTCTGAGAATGCTATCAGGTAATGTTCATTACATTTTCCTCAATTTGTTGATATGTTGTTCATCTTGCTGTAATAAAAATGTAGCACAAAGTCTGTATCCAACTTCATTTGGTTTTTGTTTTTTGTTGTTGTTTTTTTTTAACTTTTAAAGGGCTTGATTTACAGTTACTATATTTTTAATCATTCTTCCTGCCCTTTTGGATATCGAGTCTTTCAATGGAGTTGCTCTTAGTTTTGGATTTGGTGGATTTCAGATTGCTGAAAATCCAAAGAGGGGCTGGTTGCAAGACTGGAAGTTAAATTTATGCGTGTACCGTGACCAGCTCAGAAATATGGGGAGGTCAGTGTGACCTTTTCCTCGGTACTTTAGTAGGTTTGGCATAGACTGGTACTTAAAGGAAAGCTGGTACCGTGTGACTGCACTTGTCAGAGGAGCACAGGTCCCGAGTAGCTTCCCTTGTCTCTTCCTTACTAACAGGCATACTGAAACCAAATATTTGTGAGCATTGCCACAAAACAGGAACCAACAGCAACATGAAAACATGAAGTACAATGTTCCTTCAAAAGTTTCCCCGTTTTCAAGACCAGGAAGTTTATTCCTGAAAGAAATTGTCTATACAGAAAGCTGTGGTCCCTAGCAAAGCTAACCAATCAAATGTGGTGTCTTCCTTCTGCTGGCTGGCCTTCAGCTAGGTAATTTATCAGAAGAAAGTTATGTGATTATTGGAGTTAGCAAACAGAGAAGCTGAAGGTCAAGGTAATGCAAAGAAATGAGAAAATTAGCAGCCAGGTTCTGAAATCCACAAGCCAAATACCCAGCTTAGGTACATGGAGTTAAGGGTAAGCTGTGTAATACATTTTTAAACAGAAGAAAAACCTGTATAATACATTGTTAAACAATTTTTATTCCTTTAGATGCCTGGATTTACAGTACTCGCACAGTTGATTCCTTTAGCTGTGGGCCATTTAGCTCAATGTGAAATAGCCTCAGGTGTTTGCTTGAAGACAGGCTGTCACCAAGACACTGCATATCTATATTTTCCCAGTAAATGCTTGCAGACTGAATGCATTGCTAAGTCTTTAGCTTCCCAAAATTAGCTGCCTAAAGAAATGACTGTCCTCTCAAATAGCACTTGTTCAGGCCACATGGGAACCTGCTTTTATATGATGATGAATACACAGGGGCTTACAGAGCACAGTCCCTCTCACCTGGTTCCACAGTTTTCCCCGCTCAGTTTTATAATCCACCTATAGTTCCTGTTTCTTGAAACCACCTGTATTTGGATTACACCTCCAGGAGGAGACATTTTAAGCCGTTTGAATGTTTGAGCCCGTTGGGAATGATGGGCCACTTCTGATTAGATCTTGTTTTCAAAGCTTAGGCTTACCGGAGATTATAATTGTGTTTAGTGATAAATGATTGTTTTGTCTTAGTTACAGATATTTTTTCCTGTCTGGCTGTTTAGAGGACTTAATGTCCAAGAACTGGGTTAGACAGAGAATAATACAATGTAAAGGAGCTCGATTCCGGGAAATAGGCAAAGCTAGGATAAATCACCACCCTACTGGGAAAGCACTCAGCCTATTGCGTCCCTTGTAGACAGAGGTGAGGGGACGTTTTCTCTTAAGAGCCATCTTAAGAGGAACTTCATGGCTTGCTGGCTTAAATAGATCCCTGTTGCAAAGACTTCCAGACTATGGGAACTTTGCTGCTTATATCCCCAAGGTGCAACCCAGGGTACTAGTTTGCTGAGTCCCTTGGTGCCTTGGGATAGAATTGGACTCCATGCTTGGCCTTTCATTTCATGGCATTTTAAAGTGACTTACTCTGAACTCGCCTGTGGTTTTTTAAGCCTGCTCTTGGGTTGGCTGCAGGAGCTGGTAAACTCTGGAGAGAAATATTCATGATTCATTTGATAGCATGGCTATCAAATAGGAATAAATATAAAAAGTTGAAGGCTTAGATTTCAGGAGGATGGTTCATAGAATGCTTAAGGTTGGAAGGGACCTCTAGAGATCATCTAGTCCAACCCCCCTGCACACGCAGGGTCACCTAGAGCACGTGGCACAGGACTGCGTCCTAGCGGGTCTTGAAGATCTCCAGAGAAGGAGACTCCACAACCTCTCTGGGCAGCCTGTTCCAGTGCTCTGTCACCCTCACTGTTAAGAAATTTTTCCTTAAGTTCCTGGGGAACTTTTGATGCTTCAGTTTGTGGCCATTACCTCTAGTCCTATCAGTGGCCACCAGTGAAAAGAGACCAGCACCATTCTCCTCGCTGCCTCCCTTGAGGTACTTACATACACTGATCAGATCCCCTCTCAGCCTTCTCTTCTCCAGGCTGAACAGGCCCAGCTCCCTCAGCCTCTCCTCGTAGGGCATATGTTCCAGGCCCCTGATCATCCTTGTGGCCCTGCGCTGGACTCTCTCCAGCAGCTCCACATCCCTCTTGTACTGTGGAGCCCAGAACTGGACACAGTACTCCAGATGCGGCCTCACCAGGGCTGAGTAGAGGGGCAGGATCACCTCCCTCGAAAGGGCTTTCACAGGAAGGGTATGTTGTATATAACCTCTCTTAAAAACACTCCTTCCCCCCATTCATTACCGTTAAGAAGAAATTAAATGAAACAAAGAAATTTGTCTGCTCATCCCAAGGAGAAGCCCGGCAGAGGGGTGAGCGGCTCCGAGGGGACCTTGCACAGACGGCTGCAAGCGCGAGCAGCAGCACTGTCAGTGCCCAAACCCAGCAGGGGCTCTGCTCTGCTTCCCTGCAAGTCCCGTGACATTATCCACAGCTGTATCCTACGGGAGTAAGTTCCTTCCCGAAGCAGCTGTCTCCTTTCCTCCTTCCTGCCAACACACAACCCAGCCACCAGGCACCGAAACCACCCGCGGGG